AAAAAAAAAAAAAAATTCTAGGTCTGTCACTTACAATCTATATGATCTTGTGCAAATTACATAATCTCTGTGCATCTTGGTTTCCTCATCTGTCATATAAAGGTAGTTAGAGTGCCCACTTCATAGAATTATTTGTAATGACTAAAATGAGTTAATATACATAAAGGCCTCAGAATGGTGTCTGGTATATAATAAACACTATATAATTATTACTATCAGAAAAATATGAAAATAATTACATTACAATTTGATAACTCTCTGAAGCAGACATAAGCTCCTACAGAAGCAAAGGGGAGGCTTCTACCTGCCCAAAGAAGTCAGGATTTTATAGCGGTGGCAGTGGGCAATACTTGAGTTCTATGGGGTCCCGATATCTGTTTCCAAAGACTAAAGGAGCAGGAGTGAGGGAGTGAGGAGAGTGAACTGTTTAGTCAGTAGAATAACTGAAGTGATGGTTCTCAACCTTGGCTGCACAGCATAAATTGCTAAGGCTGGGGTCAAGTCATTTATACTTTTAGGATGGTTTCTGCAAGGGTAAGGATTTGTGGGTTAGAAAGGTCACTCTGGAGGCAGCATGAAGGATGATCTAAATTACTGCTGTAGAGACTCATTTATTGATGCCTCTGGAACAGGTCATTTTGTGCAGGTATGCTGAAGGGTAAATAAAGTTTAAGAACCACTGATGGAAGAATGGGAAAGTCAGCATACCAATGAACTGATGACAGCACATTATATACCGACTCGTTAATAACTACCATGTCTTCACATATTTTATTGCACTTCATCAGGAATAAAGGTAAAGCTTTTTGTTTTTCACTGATGTATTACTGAATTCATCCAAAGAAATATTTCAACTATGTGGAAAAATTGATTCTTCTTACCTGCTGGATACGTCCTAAATATGGACTCAATGATATCAGAGGTTAAATTGTATCTCAGACCATTACATCCATCTGTTTGGGGCCGGACATCAGCCTAAAATAAAGACCACACATATATATTCATTAGAATATCGGGGGAAGATGTGTAAGCATATAATAGACACTGGACAAAGTTGGCAAAACAGACTTTCTGAATAAACTACAGAGACAGAAATTAAGTTCCTCACCCTCACTTTTGGCATTGAGAGAGGGCTCAAAGAAGCCTGGCTTGGTTTCACATAATCTTACTGATGTGTAAAATCTGCGTCCTTGAAAATTCAACATAGTCAAATAGGTAGATAGCTAGTGGAGCTTTAACATGATACTTGTAGAGTTACCAAAACAACTATAAACCTTGGTTACTAAACAAATATTATCTGACTGGTTTCTTTAGGGAAGGCCTTATTAATTCAATTCACTACTAAGCACCCAAGAAGATGCTAAACATGTAATTGATACTCAAATTTTTGTTAAATGCATAAATACCACTTTGGTTCTACCAGGTATAGACTAAATGAATCCGACTTTCTAATTCTACAGGTAAGGTATTCCCAATTTTTCACTAAAATACATTTTATAAATCTTGCTTCTTCTATAACACCATGGTCATTACAAATTTAACTCTGCATTATAAATATAGCAATCATAAAGGTATCAGAAAGTTCTAAATTTAAAAGAATTAGGGGAAACAAGTATTACTCCAATTGCTAAAAGATTCTCTTTATTAAAGTCCATTTAATTTCTAGCATGTAAAGGTCAAGTCCCCAAACCAAAAAGTATAGCTAGCAAAAAGTATCTATTTAAAAAATGCTGTATATATATATATTTTTTAAATTTTATTTATTGAGAGAGAGAGAATGAGAGAGAGAGCACAAGCAGGGGGAACAGCAGAGGAAGAGGGAGAAGCAGACTCCCCACCCAGCAGGGAGCCTGATGTGGGACTCGATCCCAGGATCCTGAGATTATGACCTGAGCGAAGGCAGCCACTTAACTGACTGTGCCACCCAGGCACCCCAGTACTGCATATATTTATATTTTAGAAGAATACCATAGATAACAAAGTATCCACTAATTTACTTTAAGGAAATGCTAAGTTTTACCAATAAAATGGCATTGTTAACACATATACCAAGGTTTTCTTTCTTTTTTTCTTTTCCCTTCAGAAATCTAGAAGGGTCACATACCAGAAATGCTGCAGAAATGCCAACATCTTGCTTATGATTGGATGTAGAACTCTCTGTTGCATTCACATTTAAACGACTGGCCCAGAATTCCTCAGCACTGATCACTTGACTCACAACAAGGTCTTTATAAAGCTGAAACAAAACAGGATCTTCTTGCAGCATTCTGGTGATAGAATATATTGAATATATTGAACTTCTACAATAAAACGCTATTTATGTAACACTTTAAAAAGAGTTTAACTACTTTAACAACATGAAACCGAGACACTCGACTTCCATTTTATGATGCTGGAGCAGCAGAGGTCATTTAGTTCATTTGTTAGTAATTACAACAAACAAAAAACGTTTTTGAAGGAACAAATGAAGATAAATGGAAGTCTGAAAAAGCAAAGAATAAACTCTTTGAGGGTATGGATTTGGTGTTATTCATCTCTATATCCAGTGATACAAAGGTCATCATGCCTGTATTTGAACTGTACTGCATTCTCTTTCACATATGAACGTGAAAGAGGAGAGAGGAGGTATGGTTGAGATTTTCTGGCCACCAGTTTCTCAGTGATAAGCACTTAGAGACTTAAGCATAGATGGCATGGAAGATATTGGCGATGGAATAATTTGTCTTATCAGAAACTCATTATTTCATGTTTTCTCAACTTTTTTACAGTGTGATTTCTTTCAGGTTTCTCACTTACAAATACACTTCTAATGCTTTCCTGTCATCTTTGTGAAGAGAACTAGGAGAAGGAATGAAAGGACCTTATCACCTTTGAGTCTCAGTTGTGTTCCTCACCAGATATTAGGCTTGAGGCAGTTAATTTAATTTAATGCAGCACAAGGGATAAGAAATAACAAGCTGTTACTCTACTAAAAGACTGGAGAGAACTTAGCGTCTCTTTATTCTTTTCCCCCTTCACCTGTTTTTCTCTTCCAGCTCTTTATTCGCTTTCCTCTTGAATTTGGGCAGCAGCTGCTGGAGAAGGTCTTTCACTGCATCTCGCTCTTTCACAGCTGTGCTTTCATTGGAAAAATGGAAGTTAGTTGTGTCCCCTGCATGCAACACCAGCTGAAGCTGAATTTTAGCTTTTCCTTCTGGACTGATTTTCTGGCCTAAAAAGAAGCATGAGACAAATTAGATGAGGACACCCACACTGGAAACTGTCCAACAACAGGCTACTCTCCTCCCAAGAAAATTCAGAATTCCTTTGGGCTTTAGCTGCCCTGCTCCAATCTTAATGCTTTTGCAGAAATGCCCTCTTCTCAAATAATCCCATATAATCAGAGCACAGTTTAACAAATTCACTGCTAACACTCTGCTTCCTTCTTTACTATCCTCTTTGTGTGGCCCTTCTCACTCACTGCCTCCATCTCAAGATACTAAAGGGCTTTTGTTTCCACTCAACTGCGGCAGATCTCTAAATAGCCAACTAGGAGTCCTGAACCCACCCTGAACATCTGAATCCAAAAAACATTATTAATAAAAATGATCTGTCATAATTTAAAAAACTCCAAAACAGCCCATGTCTTACTAATTGCAAAGAATACATAATTTTACATCTGAGAGATCTGGTGTCACTTCAACCCAGTGATGAAACTTCATCTCATCCAAAGTGGGTGGCACAACCTCACACTATGGGCTTTCTGTGGGGATAGGATAATAAGTAAATACCATCACCTAGGTGTTCTTGCTGCGAGGGTTTAATCTGAGTACAATCAAGCCTGTAGACCTTTCAGTTTTTGAGAAATACAGGTCTACACAAATAGATTATAGAAAACCTTGAGGAGGCAAGCAAACATAATCAGAATGTGGTATGTGACAAGCCTATAAAGACTGAAGACACTACAACTCCATCTGTGAAGCTAGACTGGATATAGTTTAAAAAAAAAATCACTGCTACAGAAAACATTATTGGGACAAATGGGGAAACGTTATTTATTACTAAAAATTTCTTGGTGTGAAAATATTACAGAGCAAAGTGTTTGCATGCATAATAGTAAGTGGGACATATCGTGTATCATTCTTAAAATTTTTCTCTAACTTTGAAACTTTTCATAATAAATTGAGGTTGGGAACCTCAAAATACACCAACATAATGGAGAACTTGTACTCTTAAAGTAGTGGGCCTCATGGCAATAGTAGTGCTTGTCTTTGTCAGGGGAAGAGAGATGGAGGGGCTTTGTCCCATGAAATGGGAGACTCTTGGTAGTGTGAAACAAGCTGCCTAGAGCTCACAACCCAAATCGCCTAGCTCCTAAACAAACTTTTTCAATAAAGATGCGGCTTCCAGATCAACAGTTTAGATAAAATATCTTACCACCAAAAACAGCAATATAGAGGAATTTACACTGTCAGCCAGCCTACTCTGGTATTCTATTTCTCAAAAACAAAACCATCACCCCTTTCTAGGCATCTTTTCTCAATCATTGCTTTATCCTTGCTCTATCTTAGACTTTGCCTCTGAGAGGTCTACTTCTGACGTGTTTTTGTTTTTTTAATTTTATTTATTTACTTGAAAGAGAGAGAGCACAAGCAGGGGGGAGCGGCAGGCAGAGGGAGAGGGAGAAGCAGACTCCCTGCCGAGTAGGGAGCCCAATGCGAGGCTCGATCCCAGAACCCCAGGATCAAGACCTGAGCTGAAGGCAGAAGCTTAACTGACTGAGTCACCCAGGTGCCCCCTGAAGTTTTTTAATTAGCTTACTTAACGGCTGATTTTCACCTTAGTCATTTACTATTGATAACTTTCAGTGGTTCCTTTCAGAAATGGGTATTTTTTTCAAATATTCAACTTAAAACAAAAACTGATCTGGTGCAGATCTAGATTTGGGTATGTGCTCTCCTTCTCAATAACAGAAGAATTGTCGAGAAATAGAAGAAGGGTATATTCTTTATTGTATGTGTGGGTATCACAATGAGTACGTGTTTTGCAGAGCTACAGGACCAGCTTCCTGTTTAAGAGAAATGCTAATAGAGGCAGTTCCTAATTTAGGAGTTTCTTCTGGTACAAATGTTAGTTTGTAAGAATAGTAGGAGGAACTTGGTGAGGCACTTTTCCACAGAATTTTATTATTATTATTTTTAAAAGATTTTTATCTATTCATTTGACAGAGAGAGAGCGAGAGAGGGAACACAAGCAGGGGGAGTGGGAGAGGGAGAAGCAGGCTCTCCACTGAGCAGGGAGCCCGATGCGGGGCTCGATCCCAGGACTCTGTGATCATGACCCAAGCCAAAGGCAGATAACGACTGAGCCACCCAGGCGCCCCTTCCACAGACTTTTAAAGGGAGGTAGTATTACCAGAATAGTGGACAAAAGACCAGATAGCTTAGGACCTAATTATGATGAATTTTAAACAGTATTTCCTTTTGAAAGTTAAAATTCTAAGTTATTTCAGTGGAGATAGATAAAAATCTTGGTCATTTGCAGCAGCAAAGTAGAGGTAAGTTCTTAGGGCCACTGTTTACACACAAAGGACATTTATAAATTGAGCACTTGAATGTGTAAGGTTGACTATTTTTTGAGGTGTCATGTTCCTTGAAATCTACACAGGATTTTATCTAGGAGAAGAATTTTATATCCAGGAAAATAAATGAATTCACATTAATGGTTGCAGTTCAGGTACCACAATTTTACCCCTGTATCTCCTATCTCCGTCCAATTAAAAAAATGAGTCTATCTTCTCTCAACAGATGATGGCCACATAACCGAAGATTAATTAGACTACTTGCTTAAATGATACAATTTTATTAAAGGACAATCTGCCATCATTTATCATTTTAATGCGTTTAAACATAAGAACCATCCGGACCAGTAAATCTACTGCAGGGATGTATCTCACACATACAACCTCACAAAGATATTAGCCCACAGAACTATGCTGCAGTACTGTTTGCATTAAAAGAATTCTGGAAACTTCCTAACTGTCCTTCAACAGAAAACTAATTAAATACATGACTGTATATCCATTTAGCGGACTATTATGCAACTCCTAAAAGAAAGTACATGTGGAGATCTTTATATGACCTAGATTTATATATATAAAACTATACAAAGTTGGGCGCCTGGGTGGCTCAGTTGGTTAAGCGACTGCCTTTGGCTCAGGTCATGATCCTGGAGTCCCGGGATCGAGTCCCACGTCGGGCTCCCTGCTCAGGGGGGGTCTGCTTCTCCCTCTCCCCTCTTCCCTCTTGTGCTCTCTGTCTCTCATTCTCTCTCTCTCTCAAATAAATAAATAAAATCTTTAAAAAAAAAAAAAACTATACAAAGTCTATTATTAATCACAGGTTACAGAATAACATATAATCAATGATCCCACTTTATAATTATTTCAATATGGTTGATTTTTTTGGACACTATAATAAAAAACCCACAGACTATATGAGCAATCTTTTTATAAAATTACTAACAAATATTCCATCAGACCTTAGTATAGATGACTTACATTTAATATCTGCATACATATGGCTGATTGTAAATCTATCTTTGCCTTCAGGTGCCCAAGCGATTCTTTCTGCCATGAGGTATAAAGCTCCATCCTGCTTCTTCTGACGCACCTTCTTCACAATCAGCAAAACTTCTTCAGATGAAGTTGCCATGATGCCTAGAAAGTGCTAACAGAGACAAAAAATTTCACATCTCAATTAGGATCAGATTTGTTGACTTCTGGAGGCCTTTCCAAATCTAAACTAATCATGAGGAGGAAAAAAGTCCCTGATTGAAAGTTGAAGATAAAGTTGTACGGCATTATCCTTTAAAATCAAATTTCATCTGCTCATATCACAGGTGTGAATTTATATAACAGTTTATGACACTTGGCAGTTTTTAAACCATTTCTACCTATTCTAACCAGAGTATTTTCAATTTTACTTTTAGTTCCTCAGTAATATTCCTAAGTCTTAAATGTATGACTTGACTACAGATTTGCTGTCTTTTATCTAATCTACATCTAGAATTGTAGAACTTTAGAATTAGAACCCTATTGAATGTTTAGTTCAATTGTGTTTCAGCTGCAACAACTAAGTGCCATGGGGTTTGTGTGATCTTCCCAGAACCTCTCTCAGAGCTGAAACCACACCCACGTTTCTGGATTCCTGGTCTAAGTTTCTTCCGGTGTGCTTTAAAATAAAACTTTTAACCCTTAACACTTCAGATGCTATTTCCCCCATCTTTTAACAATCAAATGTCTTCAATTGTTCTCCAGATCTTGGCCGAAGATTCACTTGTATATGGCTAATTCATTACCTAGGAAACAGCTTTTAGTCTCCCTACCTCTACTTCTTCCTTCCCAGTCCTGGGATAAATGCTCAACCCAAATCCTAGAGGCTTGGGTGTGGCTGTCTGTAATACGAGGCTGAAAGGGAATGTGAGGCTATATGGGCTTAACAGGAAAGAAGCCATGATTGATGGCAATGTCTGCCATGGGCTGAGATGGAGAAAGTGATAGCACAAATGCCCCATATATGTCATTTCTGGTGAAGTGATGACGTTAAGTTTTCATTCCCAAAAAGACGATTTAAAGTATAATTTTAAAATATCTACTTCTTCAGGGATATCTTAAAATACAATTGTAGAGAAATTAACATACCATAGGTATAAGAATTAACATAGGTACAATAATTAAATTTGCCATGAGCAAACAAGTGAAGCTTGATTGAAACATTTTTCCTGGAGGTTAAAACAACAGGGAACAACGAAATACTGGATCTGCCATTGATTATTGCAAAATAATTGAGGAACACCTCTGTTTGGATGTAGTGGGAAAGTAAGCACCAGGAAGAGTGGCAGGCACTAAAAATAATGGAAATCAGCAATTCTACCATCACCTCTTATGATTAATGAAAAATATGACTGGATTAAAAAACATTTTAAAGGGGCACCTGGGTGGCTCAGTTGTTAGGCGTCTGCCTTCGGCTCAGGTCATGATCCCAGAGTCCTGGGATCGAGCCCCGCATCAAGCTCCCTGCTCAGTGGAGAGCTTGCTTCTCCCTCTCCCACTCCCCCTGCTTGTGTTCCCTCTGTAGCTGTCTCTCTCTGTCAAATGAATAAAATCTTCAAAAAAAACACCAAAAAACCAAAAAAACAAACACATTTTAATTGTAGTTGTCACATATTACATTAGTTTCATATGTATAATATATAATCTGACAAGTTATGCCCACTCACTCACAGAAAATACTCACCATAGCTACAATCAAAAAATTTACTCAAGCATTAATTTAGAAATAAAAAATACAAGTAAAAAGTGAAATCTTAGTTTCTCTGAAATGGATTTCCTGAATTTTGAGTAGCCAAATATTCCCTTTCATAGGTACTCTACAGGCTACTCTACCTGAGGAACAGAAAGAAAAAGGGTCAATGAGAATACATTTATTCAATAAATTTGTGCTGAGCCAACAAGTCTAGGGGTTATCCAAAGATGAATGTCTGACAATAATGATTTCTACTTTTAAAGAGATAAAGATATGTATCTGTGTATATAAATTAGAATGTGTGAGGTTCCTAAAGGGAGATAAAAAACGTCTGAATTAGGACTCAGAGGCCATTTCTTCGCAGAAGAGGTTTTGTCAAAGGTTTGTCATAGGCTTTTTAGTACAATTAAAAAAATTCAGCTATAATTAACAAACCACCAAAATGCGTACATCTTAGGTGGTCTGTTTGATGTATTTCGACAGTTATATATACCCATGTACCATTACTCAAAACAAGAGAGAAAACATTTCTACCACCCCCCCAAAATTCTCTCATGTTCCTTTCCATTCAGTTCTCTTCCTCTCACCCTCCAGCAACTATTTTCTGATTTCCATCACCACAGGTTGGTTTCCCTCTTTTCTAGGTTTTCATATAAATAGAACCATGCACCATATACTGTCTCTGACTTTTCACCTAACCTGTTTTTTGAAATTCACCACATTATTACATGTATCAGTAGTTTGTTCTTTTTTATACATAATTATGAATTGGGTCTTAAATAAGGATTTTGACAGAGAAAAGGAAATAGGCATTACAGGCAAAGGGAACAGTTTGGGGCAAAGGCTTGAGACACAAGGGATGGTAAGCAGTCTGCTCTGGATGTAGTATAAAGTTCATGATAAAGATCAAAGAGATATGGAATCAGATGGTTAAGACGGAAACAGTGGAGAATGCCACCACACATGATAGACAACAGAAAACCTCTAAGGACTTTTGAACAAGGCAGTAATTTATATCTTAGGAAATTAATCTTTGGACAATATGAGACAGACTTAAAAGAATGACTAGCAAGGGTCTTAACCAGGCTGGTGGCAGCAAGAATGGAGAGGAAGGGACAAGGAGGAATACTGAGGAAGCAGGATGAATAGACACTGCAAGCACTGAAATTGTCATGGCTGCTTGCTCATACCCCATTCCTAAGCCCTACTGACAGGAGTACAGTGGTGCCATTTATAGAAAGAATTCAGAAGAAAGAACAGGTTTGAAAGCGAAGACAAGGAATTCAGTTCTGGACATGAAGAGTGTGAGGTGCTGTTGAGTCATGCAGGTGGAGATAAATTAACTTGTTTTTCACTTGCCACTGAAAATACTTCATGTTGTTTTACAATCTCCAGTTTGGATATCTATAAAACATACATGACAAAGATTCATGTTCTTAATATATGATACCATCTTTTAACTGATTTACTTATTTAACACCCTCCTAGATTTTGATTAGAGTTATTACTGTTTAAAAAGTTTGAAAAACCACTGTCTGAAAAGACTATTTAATGACATGAAAAGATACACTGCTAGATAATCAAAGAAAGCAGAAAAAAAAACATGTAGTTTGATTTCATGTTATTAATTTATCTAAAATGTACTCAATGCAGGGAACCTGGCCGGCTCAGTTGGTAGAGCATGTAACTCTTGATCTCGGGGTCATGAGTTCAAGCCCCATGTTGGGTGTAGAGCTTACGTTAAAAAAAACAGAAAAACAAACAAACAAAAAAGGTACTCAATGCTTACTAATACGTGCCAGGCACTGGGCTAAGTTCTTTACAGGCATTATCTCATTCAGTCCCCAGTTAACAATCCCGAGGTACGTTCTATTATTAGTTCTATTCTGCAGATAAAGGAAACTGGGTCTAAAAAAAAATCAAGATGCTTTCCCAACGCATCAAGGAAGTAGATAGCTTTGAATCTGGGTCAGCCCGACCTTGGGAGTTCCACCATGCTATTTTGCATGGACTGGAGGAATATACACCCAACTTCACAGTGGTTACCTATGGGTGATGAATTACAGACAACTTGAATGTTCTTTTTGTTTTCTGGATTATCTATAATAAATACATATTTTATAATGAGAAAAATAGTTATTTTTTTTAATTTTTTTATTCTTATGTTAATCCCCATACATTACATCATTAATTTTAGATGAAGTGTTCCATGATTCATTGTTTGTGCATAACACCCAGTGCTCCATGCAGAATGTGCCCTCCTCAATACCCACCACCAGGCTAACCCATCCTCCCACCCCACTCCCCTCTAGAACCCTGTCTGTTTTTCAGAGTCCATCGTCTCTCATGGTTCATCTACCCCTCCGATTTCCCCCGTTTCATTCTTCCCCTCCCGCTACCTTCTTCTTCTTCTTGAGAAAAGTAGTTATTAAAAGAGTCTTTCCAAGAGTTTGTTCCCTATCAAACCAGAGGTTTATAAGATAACATGGGAAAAGTGTTAGGGGTGTTAGTATAAGAAAACAATTGTTATTTTCAAAATTTCTATAATATGTATCAATTGTTCTTTATTTACTTTAAAAATTTAACGTATAAAGAAAATTTTATAACATTTATGGAACTATTTAATACTTTAATGTTAATTATAATACACATTATAACATCTTAGAATAAAAAACAGTTTGTACTATCTGAAGTTACACTGTATACTATACAAACCACATTTTAGGAAACATGAATCGAAATCTGAAAGATAGGAGGGGAGGCTTTATGGACAGGGGGAAAGCAGACAATTATAAGACAATTTTAAGTATGTCCATATATGGAGGAAAAGCAGTGAGCAAGGACAGCTGATAGAGCAAGTCTACCATTAACTGGGCTTATAGGCACAAATAAAAAGTGCTAGGTTTGCAGAAGAACAGAAAATTTTTTTTTTTTTTTAAAAGAAAGTTGGAACCTTTTTTTTTTTTAAAGATTTTATTTATTTATTTGAGACAGAGAGAATGAGAGAGAGAGAGCACATGAGAGGGGGGAGGGTCAGAGGGAGAAGCAGGCTCCCTGCCGAGCAGGGAGCCCGATGCGGGCCTCGATCCAGGGACTCCAGGATCATGACCTGAGCCGAAGGCAGTCGCTTAACCAACTGAGCCACCCAGGCGCCCCAGAAAAATTTTTTTGACACAAGAAGGTAAGAAAGAAAAGATGAGTTGAAGACAGAGAAACTGTAAAATGGAGAATAAATTAGATGGAGAGAACCATCAGAGTCAGTCACTAGCACGTAAAACCATTTATATTAAAATCCATTTGGGAGAACACAAAATAAATCAGAGATAAGTAATTGAACATTGGGATGACTAGTCAGTTGTCTCACAGCTAACTTGCTTGGCAAATTTCCTTGTTCATTTGTAGCACCTCTATTAATTGTACAAGACCAGTTTTAGAAAGTTTATTTATTTTTTTAAAGATTTTACTTATCTATTTGAGAGAGAGTGAGAGAGAGAGCCCAAGAGGGGGTGGGGTCAGAGGGAGAAGCAGACTCCCCGCTGAGCGGGGAGCCCAATGCGGGACTGGATCCCAGGACTCTGGGATCATGACCCGAGCCGATGGCAGTCGCCCAACCAACTGAGCCACCCAGTCGCCCAACTTTTAGAAAGTTTAATAGAACCAGTGGGGATATCCTACAATGCCTTATGTGATTTCCAGACTTTTCTTGAAGATGGCTCGCTCCTTGGGTAGCAAAAACTTCTTCCCAGTAGGTCTCTATAAGAGCCACAGAGTATTTTGTTTATGAAAAATATTGGTTAGTTCCATTTAAACAAATCAGCTCGATGAAGATCTACTTTACTTAAAAGATTATCTTTTAAAGATTTTATTATTTATTTGAGAGAGAGCTCACATGTGCGCATGTGGGGGAGGAGCAGAGGTGGAAGGAGAGGGACAAGCAGACTCAATCCCAGGATCCCAACATCATGACGTGAGCCGAAACCAAGAGTCGGACACTCAACTGACTGAGCCACCCAGGTGCCCCTACTTAAAAGATAATTTACTTTATGAAATTATCTGCCACAAGACTTCTTTAAATAGCAAGATCCTCCAGTAAAGGGATTAATTCATTTGCAGTTAAATATTTACTTGAAGTTAAATGTACATGCCTTGCTGAGCCTTTGCACATTCTCCTCCTTTCCTATCAACTGGCTTTTACTCATTTTTTTGGTACTTAAAGTACTAAGTTTCAAAATCACTAGGCAAGACCTTTCTTTTCTCTTTTTTTTTTTTTTTAAAGGTTTTATTTATTTGACAGAGAGAAAGACAGCCAGAGAGGGAACACAAGCAGCGGGAGTGGGAGAGGGAGAAGCAAGCTTCCCGTGGAGCAGGGAGCCTGATGTGGGGCTCGATCCCAGGACTCTGGGATCATGACCTGAGCCGAAGGCAGCCGCTTAACGACTGAGCCACCCAGGCGCCCGACTTTCTGTTCTCTTGATAGCACTTACCACAATGATAATTAATTTCTAAGGTAATTCTTTTAATGTCTCTCTCCCCTGACAGACTACAAGCTTCATAAAGGGAAGAGGATGCATGTGTTGTATTCACTGCAATACAGCACCCAGCCACATATTTGGCCTATATGAAGAGTCCAATAAATATCTGTGACATCTATTTAAGATCCTTGTTGTTAAAAGAACACCAGCTTGGTAAGATACATAAGACACCTTTGCACATATATCCTTGGCTAAACTCCAGGAAGCATTACAGCTCTCAGAGATCACAGTATCACTCCTCAGAGATTCCAATAACTGGTTTATAAGGAAATAGGGATAGAAAGAATTTGAAACTGATCAACAGAAACCTTTAAATTACATCTCTTTCTAATGTGCAGAGATAAATGGGGCAGGAACAAGGACAACAGGTGAAATATAAACTCCGTATCAGCCTCTAAAAGAAGGATTATTAGAGAGAGCTGCTGTATCTGCCAGCATACAAAATGGAGATCTGGAATGCTGCTTGCTATGAGGCAATCCAAAAAAATTTTAACAATTCAGCATAACAGGGAATAGGACCTTGAAAGTATGTAAAAAGCGAACAAAATTTACTATTTTAATGAAAGCTATGCACACAATGAAGCTATTAAGGGGAATAACTGATGTAGCAATTTTGAGACCAAGCACTTTTTCATTTTACAGCAGTGCAGGGAGAGGCAGAAGGAGGAAAATGCGACAGAGACCAAGACAGAATGAAACGTATGCTCATATTCACCAATAAATACTGCATGGTGATAAGAGTACAATATCAAAATTGAGAGCGCCATCAGTTGGTAATCAAAGTGGGGAAGGGATAGACTTATTAGTTGGATGCCTGATACTGGCTACATTGCAGGCAGGCTAAGAGAGAAAAGAAGAAGGGCACAAGACACCCCTAGCAGCAGTATCCATGAGGTAGAAATAGTGGTCAAAATGCTAGGAAAGCTCAGTCTGATGATTGGGGAAAAAACCCAGCAGCACAGAAAAGCAGGGCTAAAAGGTGGAAAGATAAACCAGCAGGGAGAAGATAAATGCCTCTGGGGCAGTACATGCAGGAAGCTGATCACTTGGTTTATTAAACAGATTCCTCTCTGCACCAATCTTCTAGTATTTTTAAAGAGCCCACCAAAAAAAAAAAAAAAAAAAAAAAGAGCCCTCCCTGCATTTGCATGGCTAATTTACATCTGCACTACCGTGAATGTATGTAATATCATCTAAGAGAAACTCAAACTTTCAATCTGCTGCACTGTTAAATGTCAGCTGAGTGAGGGCAAAAGAACAGGTTTAATGGCCTCAAATGACCTCTCCCTTCTTCCCAAATGAGGGATTTAGGTCTGCTAAAAGGTACAAAGTTCTCTCCAGAGCCCAGTCCTTCTGTAAGCCATAGGCCTGATACTGGAGATTATCTTCCCTTCTGTTGTGACTCCTCCATCTCATTTGTTAGTTTTGACTTTAAAAATCTATTTTAGGGCTGGCAATTTTGGCTTATTTACCAAAGCCCAGTTAAGTGGTTTTCAAACTGTTCCAAGAGGGGAAGCTGACTGGGTGGGGCTTGGCCCTCCCAAATTCAATTCCATCAGAGCATGCTGTTTTGTATACTGGAGTTCACAGTAAGAATTCGTGGGGAGAAACTGTTCCACTGCCTCATGGAGTTAATACTGCAAGGTGCAGTTCAAATCACTTAGTTTTTGTATGTTTTTCAAATTGGGTCTTCTAATACGCAAAAGGGTAAGTTTTTATATTTTTTCCCCCTCCCCCTATACAGACGCCAAAATGAGCGTTTAAGAGTCAACTGAATATACTCCTTTAGTCAATTTTGTCTCTGAGAACATTGGGGAATTTATAAAATAATTATACATTTCCATGGGTTGGTGGTCTATTTTGCATCATTACAAGACAATAAAATTGGGCATAGAACAAAACTGGGCGTGTGGATTGGCACACGTGTTAAGAAGGTTTTAAGAAGCGGTAGGACTGACAGGTCAAGCAAAAGGTGTGCAGACACTACGGTGAAAGCCGTTCTCTTACAGAAGCTGAAAGACTTAACAGCACATTTCCTAACGGGAAGGGATCCTCTGTCAGGCAGAGGCCTCCACGTCCTTCATTCTCCGGAGCCACGTCTAATCCTGGCTTTGGGTAAATCTTCGAGTCCCTGCTCTTAGTAATGGGGCAGACTTCCTACAGGCCAGCAGATTAGGGGTCGCCTATCTCCCGCTTCAGGACAATAAAGGGCTACCGAGACAGCAAGCTTAGGAGTTGTGGCGACGGCAACAGGGACACAGGGAAAAGGGGTAGAACCCGCGCCGTCCTGCGGCCCCCGGGCCTGTCAGCTCCTCACTCACCCACCCACCCACCCCCATTCTTCGGTCTAAACTTACCAGGTGGAAGCTACGGCCCTGGGCAAGGAGTAAGCAACTGGGCTGAGTTGGGTCGAGTTCCGCTGCGCTTCTTAGAGACGCTGCCGGGAGAACGCTGAAACCCAGTAGCCACCGCCGTCGCCACCGCCTCTGTTACTGTGGGGTCTCGCCTCCATCGCTGGCTGCGAGGACTCTGAGGGCACGTGACCGGAAGTACCAAGGCGGGCCTGCCGGGCACGTGACCCAGAGCGCGGCCGCCATGACACCTTCCGCTAGTTCCCTCCCTCCCCCGCCGATTCCCGCCTGTTTCATTTCCTTTCGCCGGTCTCAAGCTGTGAAAGGTTCCGGGATCCTGGCTGGCTCACCCCTTTAGCCTAAAGGTCCTCCGGTCCCTGTTGGCGCTGCGTCGTCAGCCGGCAGCAACCCGTGGACTGCAGGCCGCAGAGAGCGTAATTGCGACCGCGGCCGGAGGGGGAGGGACCACGCGCAAGCAGGGGCGTAACCCGTCACGTGACAAGGAAGTACCGTTAATAGCGTTGTCCCCGCGTCCTCGGCGCTTCTGGATGACGTAAGCCAGGGAGGGGAGGTGCGGAAGGGGAGAAAGATTTTCAGGTGTCGCTCTTAGTTACTCGTTTTAGTGTCTGTACCGCTTTTAGTTGCTAGGTGAGTGTTCCGGAGGCCGGCCGTGACAGGATCTGATCCACTGATGAAGCGGGGCTGAGCAGTGCTGCTGGTGTGTGAACCTGCTTTGAAAACTTGGTTACTGAGGCTTCTCTCCTGGAGAGATCTGAATACAGTATTAAAGATACCGCTGAAAAAAGGTATTGGTTCCGCTAGAAAGCTTCTTGTGCGCAGGGACCATTTGCAGCGGTGGGTACAAAGCATGCTGAATGCATGATGCATTTATGAGTGAGTTGCCATTTCTCTAAGGCGAAGAGTTCTGATTATTACTTCTTGGGTAGAAAGATCCTGCTTCTCCCTCTCCCACTCCCCCTGCTTGTGTTCCCTCTCTGGCTGTTTTTCTTTCTGTCAAATAAATACAACCTTTAAAAAAAAAAAAATCCTGTTACGGAATGGTGGAATCTCCTACTTACCCTTCGCATAGTATCTTTAATTGTTTGCTTCTTTCTGTCTTCCTCCTTTCACGTACCTAGTGGGGGAAAGAGAACGCTGTTGTTTGCTTTTGATGTGTGAGCAGCAAACATTGTGGTCCATTGGTAAAACGAGTACTAGGGTGATGAGAAAAACCTTTTCTTAATCCTACTCGTTTATGTTACCATCAAGTTTTAAGGCATGGAAATGGAAAGATGATTAGATTTGGACTCAGGAGAAGTGGGTTCTAGTCTCAGCTCTGCCTCAGCAGAATTCTGTAACCTTGGGCAAGCCAGCCCTTAAGAAGAATTGTTGCACTGACTTGGATAAGCATTTATAGCCACCTTTTATTCGCTTAGGTTTTTTTGTTAGGCTAGAGGTGTGCAGGCTTAACAGATGTAATATTTAAACTCAGCTTTGCAGAAAGGTAGGGTTTTGTTAGATGGCTGAAGATTCAAAAAACAGTATATTAAATCATGGAGGCACAGAAAGTTTATACAATGAAAGGGACAAAAGATAACTTGCTATAGTTGGAAAATAGGGGTATAAAGTGGAAGGTGAGGCTGGAAAAAGAAGTAAGGATGAGATCATAGATTATGTAAGAAGGGGAGCGTTTGAAGGTTTGTACAAAGATTTCTTTTTTAAAGTATGTACTTGGGGCACGTGGGTGGCTCCAATTGGTTAAGTCTCTTCCTTGGCTCAAGTCATGATCTTAGGGACTTGGGATCAATCCCGCTATCGGGCTCTCCACTCAGTGGCAAGTCTGCTGCTCCCTCTCCCTCTGTGATCTCTCTCGCTTTCCCTCTCTCTCAAATAAATAAAATCTTAAAAAAAAAAGTATATACTTAAAGGGGCTCCTGGGTGGCTCAGCCAGGTTGAGTGACTCTTGATTGGGGTTCAGGTCATGATCTCGGGGTGGTGGGATCAAGCCTCCTATTGGGTTGGGCACAGAGTCCGCTTGAGATTCTCTCTTCCTCCTACCCACCCTTGCCCCCGCACTCTCGCTTGCTCTCTCTGGAATAAATAAAATCTTTAAAAAAAATACTTAAAAAAGTTTTGTTATGGAAAATTTCAAACATAGACAAAAATAGATAGAAAAATAAAATGAACCCCCATGTACTCAGAGCCCATCTTTAACAGTTGTCAACATTCTACTATTGTTTTTACAGAGAATTTAAATTTGTGAGTACTTTTTATATTCATTGTCACATTTGATTAATAGCAAATTTCAGGTTGAGCTCAATTCTGTTGTATATAAATATTAGGTAGGAAGATTATATTCATTTTATGTGAAAATTTCTTTGGGTTTTAGTTGAATCAAAAGTGTGACATGGCCACTTTAAAAACACATCAGATGCTATTTTAGGTTGTAATATAGAAATTTAGTGCTCAAATCCAGGAAGTTAGTGTTTCTATTCTATTCTGTGTTATCCAACTACTTAAGGAGTATTATGTTCAGTTCTAGGCACCATATTTTCAGGTAAACTAAATCACCTGTGTAGAAGGTTGACAAGAATAGAGAGGAATTTGGAAATTGTCATGCCAGAAATGAAGAATTGGGAATGTTAAATTTTTAGAAGACCTGATAACACTGATAACACTTTTCAAATACTGAACGGTTGTTTTGGAAGAAGTAAACTTGCTCCCTTAAACTGCAGAAGACACAGTTAGAAATAATTAGTAAAAGCTCTAAGTGATCAGATTTAAATATTAAAGGGAGAGAATAAGCACAAAGAAGTATAAATTTGGAGTTGGCTTAACCCCATCGCCCTGCAACTTCTCTTGAGAGTGACATTGCTTATGCTGTTTCTTTTTCATTCTCATTTCCCATTAAATCTTTTTTAGAAAAACAGGAACTTACTAGGTTCCTTTTTACCTCGTTAAATTATAACTTGTAGGACACTGAGATCAAGGCCAGATGGCCTATCCACCTCAGAGCTTAGGATAACAAACAGAAGAGATAGACACTGTGGTCTTGATGTCATTCCTTTCTTTCTTCTTCAGGATTTTATACTACAGTTTTGTCTTTTTCTTGTATCTTCAATCCTTTTCATTTTAAAGATTCTTAGCTACTACTTACAAATCTGTTTGAGTCTCTCCTGGTCAGAAAGTGAAGAGAGGTTGGGGTGCCTGGGTGGCTCGGTCGTGTTGGATTCTTGATTTCAGCTCAGGTCACGACCTCATGGGTTGTAGGATAGTACCCCACCTCCGGCTCCTCACTCAGCAGTGTGTCTGCTTGAAGATTCTCTCCCTCTGCCCCCCACCTTCAAATAAGAGAGAGAGGTTTTCTTCTCTGCCAGATTTCTTCGGTAATTGGAAGGCCTTACCTTTACTTCCTTACCACTCAACACTTTTCTCAAGTCTGTTTTCTAGTGTGTGTCCACAGCACTTAACAGAAATTATGTGACTAATACCAAATCCTTCAATGCCTTTCAGTTGCCCCTCAAATTAAAATTTATTCAGGTTCCTTGGTTTGAAAGTCAAAGTATTTCATACCTTGTGCTGAATTACTCTTCCACTTTTATCTTTCATTACTCCATTCCTTGTATGCCTGTGTTTCAACCAAAGACTAAATGTATCTCTAAATGTATCCTCTATATTTCTGCTTATTGCTGCCCTTTTCCTTTTCCTTCTAATAAAAGCCTACTCAGTTCCAGTGCTAATTCCCTTAGGAAGTTTTTTATGGTTCCCTTTAACTCAATGTGATTTTTCTGTCCTCTAAGTTCCAACATAGCACTTTGCTTATGTCTCCCTTATGAGGGGGGTGTGTGTTCTTTTTCTCCCTATTTATAAAGTGACTGATTTCTGGAATTATTTTGTCTTGTTCCCACCATTGTGCCTCATATTTTACTAGGAACTCAATAAAATGAATGAGTGAAAAGAATGAGAGATTTTTCATAGGTCAGGAATTCTCAATTTTTTTTGGTAAAGATTTTATTTATTTATTTTTAAAATGATTTTATTGATTTATTTGAGAGAGAGAGCATGAAAGGAGGGAGGGGTAGAGGGAGGAGAAGCAGACTCCCCGTTGAGCAAGGAGCCTCACATGGGTCTGAATCCCAGGACTCCAGGATCGTGACCTGAGCCGAAAGCATACCCTTAACCAACTGAGCCACCTTGGCACTCTGAAAGATTTATTTTTAGTTAATCTCTACACCCAGAGTAGGGCTTGAACTCACAACCCTGAGATCAAGAGTCACACACTCCACTGACTGAGCCAGCTAGGCGCCCTGTAAGTCTCAGATATTTTGAGTATGGGACTACTAAAGATTTGTTGTTTTTCTTGAAATGCTATTCTCCTTGCAGAGGTCAAGCTGTATTAAAAGAACAGTATAACGAATAGGAAATAAGACTATATTATGTCTATGCAATTAAAAAACATCATAAGCTTTTGTGTGTTTTGACACTGGGAAGTATGCTCCATGAATGTTAGGACTTTGTTTTGTCCTGTTTTATCTCCTGGACCTAGAGCAGTGCACAAGTCGATGCTATTGTAACCTAACTTTGAGGTAGGTAGAAACTACACGACATGAGTTGTCGCACGAAGGAAACTTCATTTGCAGCAAATAAGATCATGGGGAGTAACTTCCAAAGCTGTGACTCCCCGAGCAAGGGCGAGTGGGTTGCTTTTACTGAGGGCTAGGATGAATATTTAGATAGGGGAGCCTTGTCGTCCTGTGTCGGGGCGGGCGTAAGGTCCTTACGGAAACATGCTCATACGTACATTGTATGTCATGTAAAGCAGGCTCGTGCTCCGTGTTGGGTGGAGATTTTAGTGTTCTATTGAGGTAAAGGTAACCGTCGGTCACTCCGCGGTCCATCTGCGCAGGCGTGAGTCGGGGGGCGGGGGAGGGGGGCGGTGAGCTCAGACGGGTCTGGGCCGCCTGAGCTGACAGAGCCCCCGTCCAGGCAATGGTTACTGCTTGAGGGGTAGTTTCGGTTTCTATCACGGGATGTTAGGCCCCTCGGGTCTTTTGCCTGAGTGAAGAGATAAGCTGGAAAGAAGAGCTTAAGGAAAAATGTGGGACAAAGGTCAGTGGCAACAAGCGGGTGAGAAGTAAAGGTTATGTTTTAGGGTCTAGCTGGTGACACTATGTACATATTTGATGAATATATGAATGAGTAAATACATGTAGTTCCGAAAAAAAATTAAAAAGTATAAATAATTTAAAAACAAATAGAAATGGTGGTTTCTAAATTTTTCTGTAGTGTTTGCTTTTGATTTGGCATGTTACAAATGACTGAGAAAAGTTAAAATTAATGGGTAAGAATTTTCTTGAACTTTATTTCTTTTTTGGAAGTTGGTGCAATTTGACAAAAATGTACACTTGAGAGTTGCTGAACAGATAAACTCTTGTGTTAGTTTACAAAGTCTTCATTGGGTATTTAGCATTTGCTGTCTTGTATTCTTATTCCTATTCATTCATATCAGTTCTCTTATTGAAGCTCTTACTTTTCTTTGAGCTTTAATTCCCTGCACTTTACATCCCACTTAGTAGGTGCATTCATTCAACAGATACTGAGCCCCTGATGGTTTGGAGAAAGAGATCCAGAGGTCTCTTTCTATTAAGCACAGTTAAATTGTTGGCTGATAACTGTTGAATTTGCTGATAAGGGTTTATAGTTTGAAGCCTTTAGAGAACGTTGCTTTTTTAAAAATATATATT